AAATGACAATTGAGTTGCAATCTCTGCCAGGTTTCTCTCATACTTCAACATTTGCGTCAGAAGATGACTGAGCAAACCGCAGTCAGGTAAACGCACATCTTTTTGCGAGCAATATTGTTGTGGACCTTGGGCACTGGGGGCTTACGGAAACCGTGTTGAAAACCCCGTTTTCTTTTTACTAGAAGCACTGCTAACTGAATCAGTGGAAACGTCTACCGCTACAGGCCTACTGTTGTCGGCCACTAGAGCGGCATCTCATCGTCCTAGGTGTAGTTAGATAATATTTTTTTGTTTTCGCAGCGATTACGAATAACCAACTGGATTGGACGACGTCATCTATTCGAGATCCAAAACCACAAAAATCAGCATAGCTTCAAGTATGCAGTGATATTACTGGAGCAATTAAAATCAGTAAGGCAGCATGTCGCTGCATGGACACAGCACCAAAAATGAAATTGACCATGTGCATTTTCAATATAGTCAATCTTGAAGACACTACTGTCGGGAGAAGTGACGGCATTTGCGAGGAATCTAGACGAAGTTTAATCGAACTGAAAAGGAGGCTATAGGGATCCCATTGTAAGCATATAATGTCGCGATATATGTCGTATACGAATAACTGAAGGCTACCCGATGGAAGTAGCAGGCAGCATACCATTAAGAAGATGTGAAAATTGTAAAATAGTGACAAAGAGGCAAGAAAGTGTGGCCATCGTCAAAAGATATCAAAGTTCTGATACGACATTAATATTTCAACCTTCACAGCTAAATCAAAATAATCGCTGTGGGAAATAAGGGGTACTCGCCTTCTTTGTTACTAATCCATTCCCAAGAATGTCGACGAAATCCTCGGGAGATTCCTTCTCTACATCCGGAGACTTTTTGTCAGAGGACTCTGTACCATCCCCCATTCCGAAACCACTTTGCACAATCTCAAGAAATTGTACTGCGCGCCAATAACAATCAATCGTCCGAAGTTTCCTAGTTCAATGTGAAATCGAAGGCTAACGTTGTGCAGTGCACATGGTAAGAATGCGTCACGGGTTAGCCATATACATATTTACAATAAAAATCGTCAGCATAGAGCCATTCGGTCAGTTGTGTGCATAGGGAGTCGGGTCCGGGAGCAGATTGGATAGCGGTATAAGACAGGATAACTCGATTGGGACAAGCTTCCCAAACTGAGTTTCCGTTCCAATATTACATAAACTAGTGATCTTTTTTACTTTAAAAAGACATCTGATTGTTTTTTGCCTTTCAAGGGATGATGAGCGCTTTCCCGTGAAAACAATTCGGATGCTCTTGAAGCAACATGAAGGCTTGCGATAATTCCCGAACAATAGAACAATGTGCAGTGTATTTTAACGCGTATTTGCACCAACAAGTTCGCAAAATCGCTTGCCGTAATGTTAAAGTGTTTGACCCCTCCCCTTCTATGTCGTCTTTGCGAAATAACATGGTTACGTGATTATAGTTTCTTCACTGACTTGCGGAGAAAGACAATAAAGCAGTGGAAACTGCAACCGACAGCTAGTCAAGTCAAGTCAAATTTATTAGAGGAAATATAGGCAAACGCCTTTGAA